CACCGCCCCACAGCTTCAGCAATTATAATAATATTTATTATTATTTTTTTTTTTGTTGTTGTTTTTTTTTTTATCTTTATCTTTTTTGTGTTTTAATTATATATATCTCTATTGACGCACAGCCTGCGTAAGAACACCTCTATATATATATATATATATCTCTCTATATCTCTATATATATATATATATATATATATATATATATATACTGAGAAATGGAGAAAAATATCAATTTCCAAAATGGGGTGTTCTTATGCTGGCTGAGCACTAATAGTGGAATATATCATAAAAACATAATAATGATAATAATAACAACAACAACAACAACAACAATAATAATAATAATAATAATAATAATAACAGGTGAAGCAGTGGCGCAGTAGGTAGTGTTGTCGCCTCACAGCAAGAAGGTCGCTGGGTCACTGGTTTGATCCTCGGCTCAGTTGGCGTTTCTGTGTGGAGTTTGCATGTTCTCCCTGCGTTCACGTGGGTTTCCTCCAGGTGCTCCGGTTACCCCCACAGTCCAAAGACATGCGGTACAGGTGAATTGGGTGGGCTAAATTGTCCATAGTGTATGAGTGTGTGTGTGTGTGTGTGTGTGTGTGAATGTGTGTGTGGATGTTTCCCAGAGATGGGTTGCGGCTGGAAGGGCATCCTATGCATAAAAACTTGCTGGATAAGTTGGTGGTTCATTCCGCTGTGGCGACCCTGGATTAATAAAGGGACTAAGCCGACAAGAAAATGAATGAATAAATAATAACAACAACACCAACAACAACAATAATTGTGAGGCAGTTTTCAACCTAATTTATTTCACTATAGTCTTTTAATTATAATTTTATTACAGACTTTTATCCTTTTATCATAGTTTTCAAGTCCTAATATTGTCTTTCATCGGTTTATGTTTCATTTCATGTTTGAAAAACCACACATTCATTCACATTTGTTGATCCATTAGTTTCTAAACCATTGGCCATCATATGAATTTGGTGTATCCCTGACCTTCTCATGATGTTCTTCCACCAAAAGCTGAAAGGTGTTTATTAGGCTTCAGGAGCTCACAGTCCTCCAAACTCTCATTGTAAGGCGTTGCATTAAGATTCATTTTAACCTCAGTTACCAAATGCCAATAATTAGATGCTTTCACCCGCAATAGCACGTTTTGTTGCTGCATTTACTGCAATAAAAAATAGCATGTGCATTTATTTATCCATGCATTCCCTCCCCCTCTCTCTGAAGTGGCCTCTATTTTCTGTGATTTTAATAGCTGATGATATCTGCATGTATCTTTTTCTGCTGTTGTGAGTTGCATTGTGTAACTAATGCAGTTAGTACTTCAAAGCACTCGATCTGCCATTGTCAGAAAGTGTGGAGACAGACTCACGCACGGCTCCAAATCCCATTCGTTCTGCACGGCAGCTGCATCTCAGCATTTCACACCGCAGGAGAACTGGAAATGTCTATCAGAGATACCACAAAAACAGCCAAACACACACTCACACACACACAGACCCAAACACAGGCGCATGTTTATGCAGAAGATCTCTTACTGCTAATGCAGCAGCGCCTCTGATCTCCACTAGCGGCGGCTTCATGTTTTGCTTTGTTTTGTTTCTTCAACTTTGTCTGTCTCTGATGTTGTTTTGTCACCGTGTCCTCATTTTAGCGGTGTCGTAATCACACGCTCCTGCTTGTTCAAACGAAAGAGCAAAAGGAAGTTTCTTTGTCGCAGGCTTGTCGTATGTGCATCTATTAGGTCGACGCAGCAGGAGCGACGAGCGGTAAAGACACAATTAAATCCCGACAACAAACGGGCCGAGCATCAGCGCTGTGAAGTATGGAGTGTTGGGGAGGGCAGACAGGCGTATGCTATCCTAGCCTTTAATTCGAGATGCAACCGCTGGTGAAACAGGGAGTTTTTAGCTGGAGCTGTGAGTCTGACATCAAGTCTTCAGCATGCTGGAGTGTGTGCAAGGTGTTATTCAGGACGAGAATGTGCTGGAATGTGTGTGTGCAGTTATATTCAGGGTTCCCATGCTTCTTGTAAGGATTGAATTTCAGAGATATGGATTCATATGGCTTGGAAAGTACTTAAAAAACAAACATTGGTCGTTAAAAGCGGTTAAAATTGAAAATAATAAGTAAATTAAAAAATGGAGAAATTCTTAATTAAAAATCTTACATTTAAATCTTGTAAACTCATTTCTTCATTCATTTTCTTGTCGGCTTAGTCCCTTTATTAATCCGGGGTCGCCACAGCGGAATGAACCGCCAACTTATCCAGCACATTTATACCCATCTTTGGGAAACATCCACACACACACTCATACACTACGGACAATTTAGCCTACCCAATTCACCTGCACCGCATGTGTTTGGACTGTGTGGGAAACCGGAGCACCCGGAGAAAACCCATGCGAACGCAGGGAGAACATGCAAACTCCAAACAGAAATGCCAACTGAGCCGAGGCATGAACCAGAGAACTTCTTGCTGTGAGGCGACAGCACTACCTACTGTGCCACTGCGTCGCCAATCTTGTAAACTAACACTGATAAATAACGCACTTATTATATGTCCACTTCCTTGCACAGGAAGCCTCAAAGCATGCACACGAAGCCCATGTGATGCCAGTTTGACATTGACTGTTGTGGGCATTTTGGTTGGAAATGAAAATCGTGTTGACATCAAAACCCAACACCAAGCCGACATCAATGTCCAATGTCAGACAGATGTTGCATTTTGGTCACTTTCCAACGCAACCTAAGAACAACTAAATATGAATGTCTATTGATGTTCCAGCTTGACGTTGTGTTGACGTTACCACTATGACATCCATCAGACATTGGATTTCGGTTGCCATACCTGACTGAATAAATGGCAGAATTTGACGTCAATTGGCTGAAGATGTTGGATTTCAGTCAGTTACCAACGCAACGTAAAAACAACCAAATTTTAGTGTCTAGGGTTGTAACAATATACCGGTATGACGGTCTACCACGATTTGAACGTGCACGATTATCATACCATGAACAATTGCATATCAACGGTTTTAACCCTTAAAGACCGAGACAGCCGCCCGCACATAACATTCGCGGCTCCGGAGG